ACATATTTTTTGAATATATTGATATGAACGTGTATATTCGCCTTTGATATCTATATCATTAACATTTGCACCAGCTTGCGCCTAATTATGCGATAGATAAATTAATATTCGGTTCATATATAAAGTACTTGCAATAGAATAGGGGTGACAAGCGAGCACACAGTCCACCTGATAGACATCTCTGTCACATGTTAGTCTTCAGGACTACGATGGAATGCCTCGTTACTAGTAAAAAGTAATACGCGGTTCTTTAGATATATCAAACGAAATCCAGCAGCGTTATGCGTCTATTAAATGCTAATATTCTATGAGAACGTGGTCCTAACTCGGTCGAGCCGATCATTCATGTTTCAACCATCACGATACAGTTAAAGTGTGCCTCTTTACGTATAGTAGTATCACGAGAAATATATTTTTGCATGAGTTGTAATCCGCTTGAGAAGGAAGAAGGCAGAAACATAAAGAATTTAAGCCATAGTATATCTAACAAACATTATATTATATTAAATAAACTATTCGTTAATTGTACAAAATACCTCTTTCAGTAGTACCTAAACTCGAAAATCCCGGTATAGTCAACAGCAATTCTTAATGCTCAATTTGCTACAGCAATTTCTAGAAATAAAATAAAGTCAACGAAACGTATTTAATATATTTGTTTTAACACATTTTGTAACGTTTCTAGAACTTTGTTATAGCGTCAGAAAACTACGTCAGTAAACGTTCTCTAATGGTTTGTTTCTCCATCTCTTTCCGGGTTAATTATTTTCACTTTACTAACTACGGTATAAAGTTTAAGGTCTTTACAACTTTATTTGAAATTTCTGTTTGTTTAGTAACAAGAAACATTTTGAATTCAAGATTCAAGGTAGAGTAGATAATACGTATTAACTTAAGAAAATTCTTTATCTGTTGAGAACAGGTAGAAGAAATAGAGATACTAGAAGAGAAAAAATTATCAATAAGACTAAGTTCATTGCTAAATATTTAGAAGCCATATCATTATGTAAATGTTTTTGTTCTTTATCAAACTTTCTCTATCCTCCCTTTTGCCATAGTCGCTTCATATGACACCTACTTGAGGAAAGGGGGGAGTTTTGATTTACATTGTTTATAATGGATACTGAGGTGAAAAAAAAAATATAATTTGAAATTTAATACTAAAATAGTTGATTTGAACCATAGACAATATATATATATATATATATATATATATATATATATATATATATATATATATATGTGTGTGTGTATGTGTGTGTGTGTGTGTGTGTGTGTGTGTGTGTGTGTGTGTGTGTGAATGTGTGTGTATGTTATATTATTTATAAACATTAGTATTTACTGGATCTACAAGTGCGTTAGTTTGTGGTTACTTAATATACCCTCAATTCTACCACGCAATCTCGCTAAAATTTGTAAACTTAACTTGTTCTTTCCTGACTCTATTTCTTTTTGGCTAAGATTTGCAAAATTAACTCGATGGTTTTCTTCGCCACCGAGTACGTGGTAAATAAGCAATAATAATAATAATAATAGCCACTCCTCATTGACGCGGTCATTGGCAAAGTGGTGAAACGCAACCGTCGGAACTTCTCCGCCGCCTGGATAGACTACAGAAAGGCATTCGACTCGGTGCCCCATACATGGCTAAAGAGAGTTCTCGAGCTATACAAGATAGACTGTACAGTTAGAAACTTCCTCGAGCAGTGTATGGGACAGTGGAGTACGATCCTTTGTCATCTGGGCGAGCGGATGATGGCTGCGGAGAACCACATAAGGATAAGAAGGGGTATCTTCCAGGGCGATTGTCTGAGTCCAATCTGGTTCTGCCTCTCTCTGAATCCTCTCAGTACTTTACTGGAGGGCTCCGGGAGGGGGATTTCAGCTACGGAAAGGAGGGACAAAAGTGACCCACCTTTTTCTATATGGATGACCTCAAGTTTTTCGCCTCCAGTCGCTCCCATCTTATGGAACTGCTAAACATCACTTGTGAATTTAGCAGTTCCATTGGAATGGAGCTGGGACGGATAAGTGTGCGGTCCTCCATGTTGAAAGGGGAAGGGTTGCTAACTCTGAGGGCATAGACTTGTCTATGCCCGTCAACTTAAGGACCCTTTCCGAGGCTGAAACATACCGATACCTGGGTATGTCACAGAACATCGGTATCGATGAGGCTGGTATGAAACAGTCAGTTTGCGACGTGTTTTATGCACGCTTGACCAAAGTGCTTAACAGCCTTTTGTCCGGTGTGAATAAGACACACGCATATAACGGTTGGGTCATGCCTGTTCTCATGTATACCTTTGGCATACTCAGGTGGACTCAGACTGAACTTAACGCCCTGGATAGAAAAGTCCACACTACCATGACGTCCCATAGGATGCATCATCCGAGATCGTCGGTAATGAGGCTGTAATTGCCGCGAAAGCATGGTGATCGTGGCTTCTTGAGCGCGCTCACCATGCATAATCGCGAAGTGTGCAGCCTCCGTGATTACTTCCCGGCGAGATCGGATGATCCATTCTATAAGGACATCATTTCTTGTGATAAAGGACTTACCCCTCTATCCTTAGCCAACGAACAATGGCAAGACCCGGCAGTGCAGAGCATTTCCGACCGCGAGACCGTATGGAAGGAGAAGGAGCTTCACGGGAGGTTCTACAAGGCTCTACATAAGCCTTTCGTAGACACAGTAGCCTCCCTCCACTGGCTACGCTTTGGTGATCTCTTCGGGGAAACCGAGGGTTTTGTCTGTGCAATACAGGATCAGGTTATTAAGACCAACAACTATAGGAGATACATCCTAGAGGATGGCACCGTCGACATCTGTCGAGCTTGTCGCCATTCCGGTGAGTCACTTAGGCATGTCATCTCCGGTTGTTCGGCGCTTTCTAACTCTGAGTACTTGCACAGATACAACCTGGTAACCAGAATTCTTCACCAGGAGCTTGCTCTGAAATACGGTCTCGTGGATCGAAAATTGCCATATTACAGGTATTTGCCGGAAGCCGTGCTCGAAAATGATCCGTCAGGCTCTATTGAGGCCGGGCCATCATCACAGACAGGACTGTTCTTGCGAATAAGCCTGATATTGCGCTGATGGACCGGGCACAGTCAAGGATATTTTTGGTCAACATTACCATTCCGTATGACGAGAACCTCGTGAAAGCCGAAACAGATAAACGAACAAAATATCTGGACCTAGCTCACGAGGTGACCGACATGTGGGGTGGTCTGCCGACCAAAATTATTCCTGTAGTCTTCTCTGCAAACGGGCTAATCCCAGTCAGTCTCTCGGGTCATCTGAGGTGTCTGGGACTATTTGGCGGAGCGCTCCAGGCTCAAATGCATAAGGCGGTGCTTCTCGATACCGCCCGCATCGTCCGCCGGTTTCTTTCTCTTTCCCCCCTAACCCTCGGCCGTTTGGTCTCCCCTGCCGAGGGCCTCCATCTGGTTGGGCTTTTATTTATTTAAGTATTTTTATATTTATTTTATGTTATTGATATTTATGTATATTTATCTTTTCATTCTCATTTATAATTATACATTTATAGAACCCAACCAGATGAGAAAACTATATAGATACCCCACAACAATAATAGTAAACCGGGCCATTATCGCAGATAAGACTATTCTTGCGAATAAGCCTGATATTATGCTATTTTTTTTAATTATGATATTTTTGGTCAACATTACCATTCCGTAGGACGAGAACCGTGGCTCATAAGGTGACCGACATGTGGGGTGGTCTGCCGACTGAAATTATTCCTGTTGTCGTTTCTGTAAACGGGCCTAATCCCTGTCAGCCTCTCGGGTCATCTGAGGCGGCTGGCATTCCGTGACGACCGCTCTAGGCTCAAATGCAGAAGCCGGTGCTCCTCGATACCGCCCGCATTGTCGCCGGTTTCTTTCCCTTTCTCCCGAACCCTCGGCCGTTTGGTCTCCCTGCCGAGGGCCTCCATCTGGTTGGGCTTTTATTTATTTATGTTAGTATACGAAATATATATTTATGTATATTTATCATTTCCTTTTAATATTATTTCAGCCCAACCAGATGAGAATACACTTCTAATAACCCATAATAATAATAATAAAAGGCGTAGGGAAGTGACGACCCCATCGCCCGCTGACGTAACAGTTATGTGTCAAAACTGCTACGTCGGCGCAGGCAGTCAGCACCCTGCCAAGAGGTGTGAGCGCCGTTCCTAGGAAAAATTGTGGGTGCAAAGGTCCGTTTGTGCATATGACCGAACCACGAAACGGTGCCGGGCTTGGACGTCCCGTTATATGAATTGGAGCCCATAAAATGGATGATGGCACAAAGAAGAACGCGCATAAGGGCCGCTGCCTGGGGGTTGCCGGGACGCGTCAGGAGCTGGCGCTGGACGCAGCAGCATGCGAGCCGCCAGCCAAGCGCGAGGAGCTGTGCGGTTTCCTAGCAGCCCTCCGCATCCATCATCCCCACCGGAAGGCTTGGTGTCGGTTGGGTCTTCTCGGACTCAGCAAGCGGCACCCGCCGCTCGTGGAGCACTTCGCATGCGTTGGTCAAAAGCAATGAACGTAAACGCACTGCGGGCGTACTTTAGGGCAAAGGGGGAAAAAACTGGATGTTTGGCGTATCGGGCTAGGATGCATCGTCTTTTTGCTGAGCTGGAGCCATTTTTAACCGTCACAGAGCAAGACCTGGCAGACCGAGTTAGGTATATCTTGGGCTCAAATATATTTGATGTCACCGAACTCAATCGACTACGATGTGAGGCCGTTCCCTCATCGGATGAAAATGCTACAGCGGCAACCCGCAAATGTGGATGCCGCCGTGAATACTCCGGTTGTGGTTGATTCAAACGATGATGGAACAGTCGCCCAGGAACTGGAATTAGAGTATATGAGGAGTACATTGGAAGAGGCGATTGTGGAAACGCGCAGTACGCCTCTCAAAAATCGACCGCGACTTCCCCGCGTAGCCCTAAGCAAGCGGAATCGGGCTGTGGCTGAACCCAATGCTGGTGACCTATTTGGAAGCCAGCCGGGACCTTTGCGAGATGGACTCAATTCTTTTTGGCGCCGCGCTGGCAGTCTGCCGTATCATAGGCGCCAAGGTTTCCACGGCTGGACGCGCTACTGGCCTAAGTAGCGCTATCCCAGCATGGAGCAGAAGAATTGAGGAACGTATCGCAAAGGCTAGAGCTCTCATCGGCAGAATGATATGCTTCAGATCAGGCAATAACAGGTCAAGAATTGTGCGCACCGTCAGGATGGCGTTTGCTGGGACAAATGTCAGTTTGTCCCAGCCGGATATAACTCAAAAAATGATGGCGCATGATGATCTGAAGCAGAGAATCGCTGCTTGGGGAAAGCGGATTCGGCGATATACCGAGAGGTTGACACGGATCAATCAAAATCGTCTCTTCCAGAGTGATCAGAAGAGGCTCTATGAATCATTGGAGCGACCAATGGTAAGTGGAACGGGCCCAGCACCGAATCAGGCTGACAATGTAGCATTCTGGCGCGGCCTGTGGTCAGAGCACGTAAACCACAGCGAGGGCCCTTGGACGGAACTTGTGGCGAGTCAGTGTGCGAGTATAACGCCCATGGACCCCGTCATTATAACACCGGATGACGTAGCTGAGGTGGTCCGTAGGGCCCCGAACTGGAAAAGTCCGGGACTTGACGGGCTGCATCATTACTCGCTGAAGGGGCTCGCGGTGTGTCACACTGTGCTCGCCCGACAGTTTCAAGAGGCTCTCAACCAGAAGTCGCTCCCGAGCCTCTTCACTACTGGGATCACCTATTTAGTTCCTAAAGACCAATGTACCAGACCCTAGCAAATATCGCCCCATCACCTGTCTACCGACCATATACAAGACATTAACATCCATTATTATGAGCCCGATAATCACTCATCACCTGGATTCAAATCAGGTAATGTCGCACGCTCAAAATGGATGTCGGGGCGGTGGTCGTGAAACCAAGGAACCACTCCTCATTGACGCGGTCATTGGCAAAGTGGTGAAACGCAACCGTCGGAACTTCTTCGCCGCCCGGATAGACTACAGAAAGGCATTCGACTCGGTGCCCCATACATGGCTAAAGAGAGTCCTCGAGCTGTAAAAGATAGACTGTACAGTTAGAGACTTCCAACGAGCAGTGTATGGGGCAGTGGAGTACAATCCTTTGTCATCTGGGCGAGCGGATGATGGCTGCGGAGAACCACATAAGGATAAGAAGAGGTATCTTCCAGGGCGATTGTCTGAGTCCAATCTGGTTCCGCCTCTCTCTGAACCCTCTCAGTATCTTACTTGAGGGTTCAGGGAGGGGATTTCAGCTACGGAAAGGAGGGACAAAAGTGACGCACCTTTTCTATATGGATGACCTCAAGTAATTCGCCTACAGTCGTTCCCATCTTATGGAATTGCTAAACATCTCTTGTGAATTTAGCAATTCCATTGGAATGGAGCTGGGGACGGATAAGTGTGCGGTCCTCCATGTTGAAAGGGAAAAGGTTGCTAACTCTGAGGGCATAGACTTATCTGCCCGTCAACTTAATAAACCTTTCCGAGGCTGAAACATACCGATACCTGGGTATGTCACAGAACATCGGTATCGATGAGGCTGGTATGAAACAGTGTTTGCGACGTGTTTTATGCACGCTTGACCAAAGTGCTCAACAGCCTTTTGTCTGGTGTGAATAAGACACACGCATATAACGGTTGGGCATGCCTTTCCTCGTGTATACCTTTGGCATACTCGGGTGGACTCAGACTGAACTAAACGCCCTGGATAGAAAAGTCCGCACTACCATGACGTCCCATAGGATGCATCATCCGAGATCGTCGGTAGTGAGGCTGTACTTGCCGCGAAAACATGGTGGGCGTGGCTTCCTGAGCGCGCTCACCATGCATAATCGTGAAGTGTGCAGCCTCCGTGATTACTTCCTGGCGAGATCGGATGATCCATTCTATAAGGACGTCATTTCTTGTGATAAAGGACTTACCCCTCTATCCTTAGCCAACGAGCAATGGCAAGACCCGGCAGTGCAGAGCATTTCCGACCGCGAGACCGTATGGAAGGAGAAGGAGCTCCACGGGAGGTTCTACAAGGCTCTACATGAGCCTTTCGTAGACACAGTAGCCTCCCTCCACTGGCTACGCTTTGGTGACCTCTTCGGGGAAACCGAGGGTTTTGTCTGTGCAATATAAGATCAGGTTATTAAGACCAACAATTATCGGAGATACATCCTAAAGGATGGCACCGTCGACATCTGTCGAGCTTGTCGCCATTCCGGTGAGTCACTTAGGCATGTCATCTCCGGTTGTTCGGCGCTTTCTAACTCTGAGTACTTGCACAGATACAATCTGGTAGCCAGAATTCTTCACCAGGAGCTTGCTCTGAAATACGGTCTCGTGGATCGAAAATTGCCATATTACAGGTATTTGCCGGAAGCCGTGCTCGAAAATGATCCGCCAGGCTCTATTGGGGCCGGGCCATCATCACAGACAGGACTGTTCTTGCGAATAAGCCTGATATTGCGCTGATGGACCGGGCACAGTCAAGGATATTTTTGGTCGAGATTACCATTCGGTATGACGATAACCTCGTGAAAGCCGAAACAGATAAACGAACAAAATATCTGGACCTAGCTCACGAGGTGACCGACATGTGGGGTGGTCTGCCGACCAAAATTATTCCTGTAGTCGTCTCTGCAAACGGGCTAATCCCAGTCAGCCTCTCGGGTCATCTGAGGTGTCTGGGACTATTTGGCGGAGCGCTCCAGGCTCAAATGCGTAAGGCGGTGCTTCTCGATACCGCCCGCATCGTCCGCCGGTTTGTTTCCCTATCCCCCTAACTCTCGGCCGTTTGGTCTCCCCTGCCGAGGGCCTCCATCTGGTTTATTTATTTATGTATTTTTATATTTATTTAATTTTATTGATATTTATGTATATTTATCTTTCATTTCCATTTATAATTATATATTTATAGAACCCAACCAGATGAGAAAACTATATTGATACCCCCCAATAATAGGACAATTTCAATCATACCACTTTATTAGTGACGACAATTATCTAACTGGGTTTGCTCGTGTATTATGAAATTTTAAGGAGAGCGGTATTTAGATCCAATACTTCCAATAATGTCTATTTTACGTAATAATTATATACAGCAGCTATTACTTCTGTTGGTGGTATCACAATGTATAAATTTATTAGATAGTCAGTGAACCGTATGTTCGAGGGAAATTGCAGCGTTGCATTATTTGTCAGAAACGTCAGAGCTGTATAAGAAGCTTACAGCATTAAGCTGTTTGCTCGGATGGCATGTTCTTACAGATGATGCAATGTTACACACAGATAATAAATCTACTTACATAATTAATAGAAATCATATTAAAATAAGTAATTATAAAGAAATGTTTCCAAACAGTTTATTCTGAAATGTAGTGATTATATACCTACTCTGTGGGTTATTCACTCTATTGACAGCATTTCACAGAACACCAGCGTAAAATAGCAGCATAATACTGCTTTGTTTCGTGAGGTGAGTGTAGAAATCCATCTTATTCCTCAGTGGCCACAACGCATCTGCATTCTGAATATTAATCGAGGATATATGTAGATATCTATAAGCCACAGCATTCACTTTCCATTAAGTGTGACTATGTGCTCGTTTGTCACCCTTATTCTATAAAAAACGAGTTGTTTATATAAGGAACATACCTACTTAAATAGATACAAAAACTCGTAGGCGGGCTTAAGTGCCAACTGTTAATTTTTTACTCCTAGAAATGAGACCCCGGTCAATGATATTCAACTTTAATTTACTTAAGGGTAACAAACGCATAGATAGTCCAACTAGGAATGTAAATGCTGTGTCCTATAGGCACCTATATCTATCCTCTTTTATGAGTCTTTATCACCTTTAAGGATTAAGATGCCAGTTTAAAAGTCTTCGAATCTAGTCAATTACTATAAAAAAGCATTTAGATGCTGCAATTTTATGCCGATATTTTGTAAAGTGTGGTCTTTCGTGGTCCGAATAAAACGTAAAATTCCATCTTGTCAGGATGTACTTATGAAGGCTGCACATTTCGCGATTGTGCATGTTGAGAGCGCTCATAATTCACGCCCACCATGTTTCCGCGGCAAGCATAGCGTCATCACCTAAGATCTCGATTGGTGCATACTATGCACTTATAAGAAATAGGAATAAAAAGACCGCGAGTTACGAAATCATTAAATGACCGTCTCATCGCTTCACCTTTGTTTTGTGGTATATCCAGGTGTCGGCATTGCTTAGCCTTTGAAAAGGTCCTCATATTGATTAACCTTCTACAGCTCGAGAACCCTCTTTAGCCGTGTATCAGGCACCGCTCCGAATGTCTTTATAGGAGGCTGATACTTTGAAAAGATTGATACTAGTAATAAATAATAATTTTAGTAACAGTTTATTTCGCCATGGCCCATATTGTTAGTATTTTAAAAAAATATAGGATTAGGGTGACAAATGAGCTCTCAATCCACCTGATGGTAAGTGCTTGCATTAATCCAAAGACATCTCAGGGTATAAAAACTATCCATACCTTCTGTCAATACGAAATTTGCGCAACGTTTTGGCGACTTCATCAAAAAACGAATTTATAATTAAGTCGTCAAACACTGTAATATTATAAATAAAAAATATGCATCTGCAAAATTAATCATAATGAAATGGTTGGTCACCCTATCATATGAGGAAACAGAAGAATTGTTAAAAACTGACTTTTGCTAATTGATGGTATTTGTAAAATTTTTAGATAAATTTTGTTGTTGTTACTTTTATTTTCTTTTTAAATGTAAATACATATACAACATGTAACAAAAACCCTGTGGTTCCCGTTAAGTGTGTTATCAAAATCAGTCCAATCCAAGCGTAAAGAAATATTTTTTTTTCAAAAAACACGTTTTTTTTTATGAAAAAGAATAATTTGTAAATTGTATGTGGTTTCATTTCCTCTAACTCACACGAGTATCGGTAATGCTGGGTCTTTGACAATCCTGTTACTCCTCGGCCAATGCAGAGATAATAAAACCACATACAATTTGCAAATTAGTTTTTTTTTCATTAAAATAATTTTTTAAATGTTTTTTTTTTGAAAAAAAAAAATTATATCTATATGCTTGGATACCGATTCTGATAACGCAGTTAACGGGAACCACAGGGTTTTTGTTACATATTGTATAGTTGATACATTCCAGTTATATAAAACTTGGCTTGGTTGTTAAAGGTTTCTTTCTTTTTTTATGATTTTAGATTTTGAGCATTAAGCAGTTCTTTCATTGCTGTTTTGTGTAGGTATATTATGACAGATTGTCTGATAAGATGTATAAAATAATGCCTAGTGAACTTTGGTCTCAGGTTTCCTCGATACAGGCTTACCTTATCTTTCAGATCATTTAGAACCCGCGTAAAAGAACACATAGCTGACGTGAAGCATCAACGTTCCGGGAAGTCTGCAGTTTGCGATCATATCCTAGATGGCCCCAACCATTACATCAGATTTGATAGACCACAAATCCTCGCGAAAGAACATCGATTCCTACCAAGGATGATACGTGAGGCTATTGAAATTAAAAAAACATCCTAATTTCAATAGAGAATGAGGCTGGGTACTACCACCTGCTTGGGATCCTATAATTAATAAAATTAAAACTAAAACCAAGCATACCACTGCAAGACTTCAAAATAGAGTTAGTTCATTCTGCGTAGATCGGACCAAAGACAAGTAATTAAAAAGCTGAAGGTACTCCGGGTTAACTTTGACATCGGGACGTCAGTCACCTCAGTC